TATGCAAATCGACCGAATGACCAAACAGCAGAACCACCATCCTGACGATCTTCCAGACGACCACGCTATGACAGGCACTGGCGCCAGGTCAGCCAAGGTGGGTGTGATTGGTTGGGGGGTCCCACCATTGCCCTGCAGAGGGAGGCCCAGGCCACCCTTTGCAGGGCAATCGATGGAGGGGCTCTGTGATTGATCACCCCAAAGAGGGAGGCCCAGACCACCAGCCAGCGACGCTCTGGTGGGTGCGCAGGGCCGGCCAATGATCGCCCTGCAGAGGGGGGCCCAGGCCAGCCAAGCAATTGCACCCCACGCCTGTTGCCCGCAGAGGGAGGCGAATGGTGGTGGGGGTGGGGGTGGCAGTGCCACACAGACAGCAAACAGTGGCAGTGGCAGGGGTGGGGCCAGCTGGTGCAGCCAGGGGAAGGAAAGCCCCAATAGGCCCTGATCACCAGCCAGGCCTAGGGACCCTACCCGAGGGATTCCAGATTGCGAGAGGGCGTAGGCCGGGCTGAGGGACAACCCCCTGAAGCACAAATTTTGTGCACCAGGCCTCTAGTTACTTAATAAATTTGCATTATTTTCATAGTGAGAAAAAAAGCTGTTCTTATTTTTTGGGGGGAAACTTGTTTACAAAGTATTTATGAAGAAACTAGAGATCTGATGCACAAAATTCGTGTAAGGGACTCAGCCCTTGCAGCCCTGGCTTCGTCCAGAAGGTCGTCCAGCTGTCCGGTCTAATTAGCATATTATGCTTTTATTATTATAGATGCTAAAATTCTAGGCTAAAATGCTAAAGCTGTTCAACTCTGAAATGAACTAATGCAAGGCCAAAAATGTTTTAAAACACCAATTACCCGTCCAGTGAGTAGTGAAGAGAGATATAAAAACAAAAGTGATAGATGCTAAATGCTTCCTGAGTTGTGCAGAAAACAGCCTATGTAGCTCTAGGGAATTTCTGGTCCTTAAAGAACTTACAAGATCCACATACATGAAACAAATGGACAACAAAATGAACATCAATGTACAATTCTGTGGAAAACAACTGGACTAGAACCCAATTGAACATAGTTATAATCTGGGCTCAACACTCTAAAATTGGGCAAATGGTTTCCAAGCATGCAAAATGGTAACACTATCGCTTTCTGCTACCTAACTCACAGTTGCCAATATTTCAAACCTCACGGACCACCAGTTGGCAACCGCTGACCTAACTCATAGGTGAGAAAACTGTACATGTACAATATTATTAAATTCAGTGTTACCCAATGTAGTTCGATTATACATGCTATAGTAACTAATTCAGAAAAAAAGAAAAGAGCATTCTGTGTGGGTTGGAGTACTCTGAACAATTCTATATAGGCCAGGAGAGAGACATGAAATGTGGCATATAACCAAATTAAAGAATTAGGCCACATTAATAAGCAAGTACTCTCTGGGAAAACTGGAAGTATCATTCTCATTTTATACTTGGAAGAAAAAGAATTCCAAAATATTATTCATTTTCAGCATTCTTGCCTACCCTACACAAACTTCTTCATGGCCCTGGCCAGTTTGGCTCAGTGGTTAGAGTGTCAGCCCAAGGACCGAAGGGTCTCGGTTTCAATTCCCAGTCAAGGGCTGTGCCTTGGTTGCAGGTTCCCTGGCCCCAGCAGAGATGAATGCAGGAGGCAACCAATTGATGTGAGACACATCGATGTTTCTCTCTCTCTTTCCCCCCTCTCCTCCCTCCCTTCCACACTCTCTAGAAATCAATGGAAAAAATATCCCTAGGTAAGGATTAAAAAGGAAAGAATTCCTTCATGAAATGAAAGATAGGAAAAAGTCCACATGCCAATTCCAAAACATTGATTTTAGAGGGAAAGGAAGAAAGAGAGAGAGAATGATCGATGTGAGAGAAACATCGATCAGATGGAACCTACAGCCTGGCTATGTGCCCAGACTGAGACCCTTCTGTGTATGGGACAATGCTCCAACCAACTGAGCCACACTGGCCAGGGCTGTCACAAAAAAATATTATATCAGAAAAGACCATATGAAAAATTAGACACTGATTTGACTGCAATTATTTTTAAATATTTTTAAAGAATTAACTCAAATTCACTTTTCTTCCACACTGCAGTGATCTTTCTTTTCTCTGAATACCCCTAGGACTTATTCCCAAAATCATGAACTTGAAAACTAACCTATGTTGACCAATGTCATCTCAATAAGTTTAATAAATTTTTTTAAAAGGGAAAAAAAAACCCTAACCTAATATTTACTAGTGATATCTTTTATCATACAAAATCATCTTGTATATATTTCCTTGTTTTCTTCTTTTTTAATGTGTTTTCATTGATTTCAGAGAGAGAGGGAGAAGGGGCAGGGAGAAGAGAGAGAGAGAAGCATCAATGATGACAGAGAATCATTGATCGGCTGCCTCCTGCACATCTCCTACTGGGGATCGAGCCTACTACCTGGGCATGTGCCCAGACTGGGAACCTCTAGGTGCATGGGACAATGCTTAAACTGAGCCACTATGGCCAGGGCTATTTCCTTGTTTTCTTAATGTCTTAGACCACTCTATGGATTATATCTAATATGTTGCCTCTCTTATAACACCTAGAAGTACTGTGTATATACTAGCAAATTGGGTTAAAGTACATTCTACTTTTCAATGTGATTTAATATACATTGTAATAAAACAGAAACCTGTAGCCCTGGCTGGTTTGGCTCCGTGGATAGAGCATCAGCCTGTGGACTGAAGATTCCCGGGTTTGATTCCAGTCAAGGGCACATGCCCAGGCTGTAGGCTCGATCCACAGTAGGGGGCATGCAGGAGGCAGCCAATCAGTGATTCTCTCTCATCACTGATGTTTCTATCTCTCTCTCTCCCCCTCTCTGAAACCAATAAAAATAAATTAAAAAACAAAACTAGAAACCTGTAAAGGTACTTAGTTATTGCTCTATTTAGACACTACTTCATACTAACATCACTTGCATGCCAAAGGTCTTAGTAGTCAGAATAATGGATAGACTTACTCTCAAGACAAATTTACTCCCTTGGGAACAATAGTTTATAAATAGAACTTCTATAAACTAGTTATGCAATTGTATATAGTAATTTGACTTGAGGAACAATCCACAACATAGATGTTTAACAAACCACTTTCAGATCTCTCTCTTCTTCAGAAAGACCAAAAATCAAGCAGAGTCCCTCATGGTTCTTTCCATCACCCAAAGTGATGTCAATCAAATGCCTGTCACTTACAAAAGCAGTGATGGACACTTTCTACCCTTTTTCACATACTTCAGGAAACCGCAGATTTAGTAATTTTTCATTCTTGAAACCCAAAATGCTCAAACCCTCAAAGCTTTCCCTAATCTCTAGAACCAGAAAGATCCCTTCTTACTCTGGATTACCTAAAAATAATCTCTTCTATGTCTGCTCTACCTCAGAAGTTTGATTGCACTCTTCTTATGCAGCATACATTTCTAGCTTGTGCTACGATTATTTATACACATATCTTAGTCCCTTGTTCAACTATAACTTCTTTTAAGATAAGGACCACATCTTATTCTTCTTTGTATCCCTTAAGTACCTAGTAATGCAAAGGGCCCAAAATCTATTTCTCAAGTGAACAATAAATCACCTGAGCTAAAGCATAATACTTTTTCAAAAGTAACTTTCGTGTCTCTGGTCAATCACGAAAACACATTCTTAGATTTCACAGATCATCAACCAAAAAAATCTTTAAACAATTACTGAGTACTGACTATGGGGAGACAGCATGTGCCATATAGTAGTTACGTGCAAAACATGGAGTCAAACTGGGTAGGTTCAAACCTGGGTTCTGCCACTTGTGGTCTTAGTCGTTTCCGAACCTCAACAGCTTAAAACTAAAATCTGTAAAGTGACGATCTAATAGTGCTTATCTTAAAAGGTTACATGAAATTAATGGAAATCACTTAAAACAGCGCCTGATACATAAGTGCTTAGTGTTATTACTACTAAGTATTTGTTATTGTGCTAAGGATTTGCACAAAACTTTTTCACTCAATCAATCCCCCCCAAGAAGCTTGTGATTTAACGGTTTTTTATGAGTTTGTTTCTGCCAAACTGACCACAATTGCCAGGAAGCAGGATCTCAAATGCTCCCTGATTTAACAGATGAGGAAATCGGGGCACTGCGAAATAACTTGTGCATTCACAAAGTAAATAAGTGACAGGGCTCTAGTCTCCCAGCTCCACCAACTACTTAAATATAAGAAAAACGGGACAGTTGGTGTCCTGGAAAACTGGAAAAGGAGGATCTGAGCTGAGACACAGGAGGATACAGGCAGCGGAAGAGAAAGCCAAGTTTCTAGTCCCACAGTCTCACGCTGCCCATGATCCCACCTCATGCTGCCAGCAAACCAACCGCATTTGTAACGACATCAGTAATTTCTGGGTCTAGGGAGCCTGGTGCTCGGCAGGTGTTTAAAGACTTAAAAACGGAATTCCCTTAGGCAATTCTCGCCTGGAGCGCTTTTAGCGAAGGCCAGAGCAGAGCACTGACCACGGAAGCCTGGGAGGAGCGAATGTTCAGGCCCTAAGTTGTCTGCCAGTCTCCTAATCCTAAAAAGTAAGCAAGTGGTGATCAGGACAGGCGGGGCTCCAACTCCCGGACCTCCCGGTGTTCACCCAACACCCCGCCAACTTCGCCCGGATGCCCCTACACCCAGGCCCGGCCGGGTGTCCCCTGCCTCCGCTCACCGTCCTTCATCTGGACAATACTGCTAGCGGCCACTCGGTCGGAGGCGACAAGGACGTAGTCGGGGCCCTGTATGCCGATGAGGTACTCCATGGTGGCGGGAGGCCGGGGGCTGAAGGCTCAACAGGACGCGGGACTCGCCGGCTTCTGGGCCGCACCGGTGAGACAGCACCACCGACCGCAGTTTCACTCTACGCAGGCGCGCGACTGCCCGGGCTACCGGCGCTCTCGGATGACGTACAACTATCGCGAGAGTTTGGAAGTGGGCGTGGCGTCGGGCTAGTCAATTCTGTGATCGTGTCCTGACCTTTGCCTTGGAGGGCTTTGCGATGCCGGCTGTACAGGTATTTGCGTTATGTATGGCCAGTTTCTTTAATTATAAAATTGAGCTTAAAATTCGCTTGAAGATGAAGTCGCACACTATATGTAAAGTGCCGAGCACATGTGAATGCCAAAAAGGCGTGTGTTCCTAGATGGTTGTTGCTTGGTAAAATATCTCCCCAAACCCCTTCCCTACAAATCAGATTGGAGAAAAATAAACTTAAGAGTAGCCCTATTTACGTGTTCCACTAAAGTAAAATATGGTCGAGTTAAAGATATAAGAATAAAGACTAAAATCATAAAAACAATGGAGGAAGAAAGAATAATTTGATAATCTTTGGAAGTAACATGTGTTTATAAGCATGACAAGGAACCCAGAAACAGGAAAAGATTGGCAATATGGCTACATAAAGTCTCTCTGATAAAAGTCCCCATATGTTAAAACATAAATATGAACTCAGAATGTGTTTCAATATATGAAATAATTAATATCTATAACTTAGAAGTCATTCTTACGAATCAATGGGGGAAAGATAGCACAATTTTTAAGTGGCAATTCACAAAAGAAGCAACACAAATAACCAAGAAACATGAAAAGATCTGCAACCTCATTGGTAATTAGTCATATGAGACATAAAAAACACTGAGAAATTGTAAATTGATGGTAAGAATATAAATTGTCATGTCCTTTTTTTTTAAAAAAAAAGCTTTATTTTTATTGTGTCATGATCTTTTTATAGAGGTCAAGTGGATATTTTTAAAAAGGTAAATGTACATAACTTTTATAAGTGTCCTACACAAATATATGCACAAATACCCAAATATTTGTATGCAGAGATATTCATTGCAGCAGAGCAACAGCAAAGAGGGATGAGGACCAACTGAAATGTCCATAAGTGAAGAAATTGTTATATACATTTTGTACGCTCACGCAATGGAATATTATGGAGCCATTAAAAAGAATAAAATCAATCTAAATTCAATGTGGCCCAGATATAGTAAGTGAAAATTAAAATGCATTCCTATGTGTAGCATGATGCCATTTTTTAAAAAGCCTGCAGACCAAAGGGTCCCAGGTTCAAGGGCATGTACCTTGGTTGCAGGTTCCTCCCCCGCCTGGGCCCTGGTCAGCGCATACAGGAGGCAACCAATCAATGTGCTTCGCTCACATTGATATTTCTGTCTGTCTTTCCCTCTGTCTTCCACTCTCTCAAAAAATCATTGAAAAAATATCCTCAGGTGAGGATTAACAAAACAAAACAAAAAACCCCACACATATATATGAATATGAATGGAAAAGATATATTTACAGATGCTCCAACCTCAAATTATATGCAGTTGTTACCTCTGGTAAGAGTGATTAGAAGGAAGGCTTTCAATTTTTATTTTATATACATCTGTATTGTTTGTCTGTTTTACAATGTTCATGTATTACTCATTTTTTTTTTTAAATAAGAAAACGCACAGCTATTCCTTTATATCTTGCAGCCATCCTGGAAAAAGCTGAGATATTCCATGATTAGTTTCTGACATGCACAATTCAGTCTTCATACTGGCCATACTAGCTTCCTGAGAAGTGGAAACACAATTTCAATTATATCTCAAATGCAACTATGCAGTTCATTTGCTTCTGTAGAAATTTGTAGCCCTTACTCTATTCTGAATGTTTCTTCCAGCTCTCTGCCCATGAAGGCACATGGACCCTGAGGAGTCTGGGGCAGCCCATCTATCATAGGATGGATGCCAGGGGCAGGGAGGTCATTAAGTCAACCATCCCACTATGAACACAGATGCATCCATCATCTTAGAAATCCTTTTCTTAAACACCACTGGGAAAGAAGTCTCTCAAGTTTTTCTCCTCTCTCTCCCCCTCCCCTCCCTCCATCCCTCTTCCTCTGTCATTCTGTGTTTGTGTTTCTTTAATTGCAAAATGTACATAGTTATACTATACACACACACAAATATTACAGAAGTGAAGAATTAAATATCTCTCCTTCCACCAAAGGTAACTACCCACCAGGTGTCTGTATCCTTCCAGACCTTTTCCCCTTCTTACATACCAATATTCATTCAGTCATCCACTAAGGCTGCAGAATTCTGAATTGGAAGGTCTACAATCTTTTAAGAAAGAATTCGAGGATCCTGAACGGGAATCAAACTGTGATCTCCTGGTTCATAGGTCAATGCTAAACCACTGAGCCACACCAGCCTGGCTTGAGGATCTTTTAAGCTGGTTTTTCTCCAGGGCTCTTTTCAAATTCTCTCAACCAAGTTACACCAGATATTCTCTTAACTTCTTGTTAATATAGTAGAAAATGGGTTTTCAACACTCAACTTGTGCTATCGCATAGGAGTCAGGGAGAATTCCCCTTCCACTTAAAATCTTAGAATAACTGACCCTTAGAATTAGAAAAAGTGTCTGTAGAGGTTCCAGAAATAGCATGCACAGTCAATTTTTTTTCTATAAAGGGCCTGATAATAAATACTTTTGGCTTTTCGGTCCATACCGTGTCTGTCACAGCTACTCAGTGATGCCATTGTGTGCAAAAGCAACCATAGTCAATACATAAACAAGTGACCATTTCTATATTCTTTTTTTTTAATTCTTTTTTTATTTTATTGGTTTTTTACAGAGAGGAAGGGAGAGGGATAGAGAGTTAGAAACATCAATGAGAGAGAAACATCGATCAGCTGCCTCCTGCACACTCCCTACTGGGGATGTGCCCGCAACCAAGGTACATGCTGTTGACCGGAATCGAACCTGGGACCCTTCAGTCCGCAGGCCGACGCTCTATCCACTGAGCCAAACCAGTTAGGGCTTCTTTTTTATTTTAATTAAATCTTTATTCAGATTATTACATTTGTTCCTCTTTTTTCCCCCCATAACTCCCCTCCTCCCAGTTCCCACCCCACCCTCCGCCCTCACTCCCCACCCACTGTACTCATCCATAGGTGCACAATTTTTGTCCAGTCTCTTCCCCCATCCCCCAGACCCCTTCCCCCCCAGCCAAGAATAGTCAGTCCATTCCCTTTCTATGTCCCTGATTCTATTATAATCACCAGTTCATTCTGTTCATCAGATTATTTATTCACTTAATTCTTAGATTCACTTGTTGATAGATGCATATTTGTTGTTCATAATTTGTATCTTTACCTTTTTCTTCTTCTTTCTCTTCTTAAAGGATACCTTTCAGCATTTCATATAATCCTGGTTTGGTGGTGATGAACTCCTTTAGCTTTTCCTTATCTGTGAAGCTCTTTATCTGACCTTCATTCTGAATGATAGCTTTGCTGGATAAAGTAATCTTGGTTGTAGATTCTTGGTATTCATCACTTTGAATATTTCTTGCCACTGGTGTGCCTCCTCCCAGGGTTTGGGACTATAAAGAAATTCACCACCATGTTAAGACCTGCCTTCTCTGTCCCACTCCCATTCTCACTCCAAATTCAACTTCCACCTGAAGCCCACCCCTAATTACCTCATCACCCTTCAGGCTTTGATCCAAGGAAAGTGATAGGTCCTCTTGATTAGGACTCTTTAATCTGATTTCTGCTCCATAGCACTCCTCTGCCACATCCCCACTCTCTGATATACCTGGAGACAGGAGTACAATGCAAATAGGTCCTGACCCAACCACTGATGTTTGGACTGCTGAGACTCCAGGCTGAAAGCCCATCCTCCCTGCTGCTCATCTTCTAAGAGCATTTGCTTCCCTGATGCTTCTCCTGCCATGAGGAAGTGTGGTGGGCCAGCTTGCTGCTGGCACCTGCCACACTGTCACATAACACCAACACTAATGGTAGAAATAATCACAGTGACAACAACGGCTTGGTCTACATGCAGAAGGTACTTGTCATCTCCCGAGGAGCCTCCTGGCCTGGGGCTCGACTGTGACGATGTACCTGGCCCCTGGCCCACACTGTCTCAGTCACACAGCAGACTCATCTGAATGGTGAACATTATCACTACTGTCATCACCATTCTTGATAAGGATTCATTTATTTCTGCAAAACACATTTACTGAAGACAAAGTGCATGCCAGATTCTGTGCAAGATTGTAAAGGAGTAGGAAAGTTTAACACCTTCAAGGAGTATTCCACAGGAAGAGGGAGAGAGAGAGAGAGAGGAAGAGAGAGAGAGAGAATTTCCAAAATAGGATCCTACAGACTATTGTAGGTGGATAGATTCCCAATGCCTATAAAATGATAACCTACAGTGAGTGCTCAATAAATGTTTTGATGAATGAATGAACAAAAAGCTATGGGATCTGACAGTGGGGGAAAGAGTAATTGTGGGAAAGGAGTCAAGGAAGGCTTCCATAGGAGGTGACATTTGAGCTGAATTCTGAGAGCTGAAAAGGCAGCAGAATGTACTGGCTAAGAGCATGGAGTCTGGATTCAGAGTGCCTGGGTTAAAATACAAACTCCGTGTGATTTGGGGCATGTTACTTAATTTCTCGGTGCCTCAGTTCCCCATCTATAAAATAGGCTATTAATAGTACTTCCCTTATGAGGTTGCTGTAAAGATTACATGAGTTAATATTTGTAAAGTGCTTAGAACATAGCACTAGCACTACATACATAGTAACACACAGTACTACCTAAATATTTGATAAATGAAAACAATTGGCTAAGAGCTCACCAAGCTGACAGGATAGAAAGTTAAGGGTGTGAAGAAGAGCATTCTTCAATGTAATGCATGGTATTGAGATTTCCAACACAATGGCGTCCTCAAGGAATGGTGGGAAGGCAGTGGGAAGCAGGGGTTTGCCAGGGGCTCTTGGATATCAGCATAAGGAGTGTGACGAGCCATTACTTTTTGAAATAATTTTAGATGTACAGAAAAGTTGCAAAGTAGTGCTAAGAGTTTCAAGATATCCTTCACTCAATTTCCCCTAATGGTAACATCTTCCAAGGAGCCATTGCTTTTAAGGCAAGAGCATGACATAATCAGACATGTGTTTTAGCAAAGTTGTTGCAGCCATTGTGAGGTGGGAGAATTAGAGAGATGGGGGGTGGCGGG